AAGGTTCGCCACAATAACCGGACCTGCGTAGCTTATAGCCAGCGGACTCCCGCGACCTTTTGCAAGTCATCGGTCCACTTCGAAGTAGGTCTACCCACACTGCGCTTTTCAGTGCGCGGTCGCCACTCCTGTGTACTTAGTGCGAGCTATTTAACATTCTCGATAGCGTAAAAGTTAACTCAAATTTGTATGGAGTTGGAACGTTTACCTACGTTTGCCGATAGGGGCGCTGTTCTAACTCCATACAAAATTGAGTTAACTTTTACGTTATCGAGAACGTTAAAAATTTGCACTAAGCACATAGAACTTTTCTGCCCCAATGGGCATCTGTGCTGCGAGCAATTTGACCTGCCCACTGGCACTTCAATGTTGCAATATGTCAGATTAATAATAATTACTTACAATACACGGTACCTTGTGTGCTTTAGTTTTTAAATATGCGAATGTTATGAGATAATTATAAATCCAGTATTGTGACAGCCAACAGCAAAAAACTGCAAAGGTACGTTTTAAATTAGTATAAACACCAATTTAAACAGAAATATAAGGTTTATAGATTGTAATATTATTTTATAACAACATGTTTGCTATAACCAATTCAATAGTATAACTGTTAATAAAAAAACAGACTACAATTTTCAAAGGGAAGAAATAGGAAAAAATGAAGATTCAATTCTACAGATTTACATGGTAAAACCCCATGTGTCGGATGCAGTTTTTGGTCTTTCAATCATTTTGAACTGTGGTCGACGGACGGGAATTGCCTTTCTGTAACTCTTGTAAATTGTTGTTTCGAATGGATATAAATGGGAAAATATTTTAACTACGATTTTTTTCATTATTTTTCTTTTGTCAGTTTAATATTTTTGTTGCAGAGTTACTGGACTCTGAGTGGACATTTCCAGTGATTTGGTAAACAAAATATTCGAACATGAAATCAAGTGAATACATTTTTTTCATACCATTTTCATTGCCAAGGATAAGAGTTAAATTGCTACTTAAATGCCAATTTTGATTTCATTGCATTGAATATCACTGAAGTGGATATTTTGATTTTGAATGTAAACTATTTAAATATTTTGAACAAAAAGTTTTTTTTTTTAAGTTTATCACATAGTTCCAGCATTTGCAATAATGCAAATATATATTTTTTGTTTCAATTTTGGCTCTGGCATTCTTAATTTTCAAGCAGGCTGTTGATCACGCACGGTATAAGTTAAACCTTCAAAAGTATCTGTTTTTCTCGCAGGCTAAATCCAATGGATGTATTTCTTTATATTTCGTGTTATCGAGTTTCAAATCACGACCTTGCTAAAAAGGTTTCACTTCCATGAAAAATAAGTGGCTAATGTGGCTAATGTGGCTAAGTAATAACACTGTGGCTAATGTTATAATGTTTTTATAATCCACAATCAACCATTTGTTAGTTTATTTCCAGTGATGTTTGCATGGAGAACGTTCTCATGTTGAATGTGTCAAAAAGTAAGTGGAATTTCGCCTGGAGCAAGTTTCAGAACATAGTCACCCAGTGTCCGCGCTAAACTATGTCTTTGTTTCAACGCCTGTTTGCCGTAGCGACGTGTTTATTTCACGACTCGAATGTGAGAACAACCGAATAGTGTGTTCAGAATTTTAACGACTTTCTTTGATTTGATAGTAATGTTTGCGAAGACTTGTGCAGGAAATTTTTATAGATTAATTTTAATTGTTGGACGATTTAAGCTGCGTTCAAAAAACCTTTTAGAAGTCGCATGGATTTTTTTGGAAATGACAAAGTACCTACAGAAAATGTTAGTTTTGTTATGCATAGTGGAACATAGGGTGGAACAGTTTACAGCTCACCTGGTGTTCAGTCGTCATCGTAACCTATCACATCATCCACCCACTACATCAACAACGTAAATGTCACCACCCGCCTTGAGAAATGAGTTCTATGTATCAGTTTAAATGGCAACGCCTGCCTCACCCTTCAAAATTAAACGCACTACTGTTTCCCGGCAAAAATATATATTTTTATTTCTTAGATGTGTGGACGAGCTCACACCTCACCTGGTGTTAAGTGGTTACTGGAGCCTATTGACATCCACAACGTAAATGCGCCACCCACAGGCAGGCAAGGTGGTGGTACCCACCCGCGCGGACTCACAAGAGGTCCTACCACCAGTAAATATGATAAATATGAAAGGTTTGAAGGGTGGGGCAGCCGTTGTAACTATACTGAGACCTTGGAACTCATATCTTAAGGTGGGCGGCGGCATTTACGTTGTAGATGTCTATGGGCTCCGGTAACCACTTAACACCAGGTCGGCTGTGAGCTCGTCCACAAACCGTAAAAAAATGTGTGACATTTTACATACTGATATACACATATATTATGTATATCGTTGCCTTTTTAGGTTGTTTAATTATTTTATGTAAATTTACAGATGCCTCAAGTTCTCTATACACAGGCTCCAAGCGATTTTAGATTATAGGGGGACTTATCAACACGGGCAATTTACAGCAACGTTGCGTCCTAAAAACGTGATACCACAAAGAGTAGCTACTGAGGGCGAGGGCAGCGCGAGGTCACGCCAGCCACGGAGGGCTCTTCGCTTTGTTCCACTGGCAACAATGCCGCGCCGAGGGCCCACTCGAGCGCACTTGTATCGGATGCAAGCTATGTTTCGTCGTTCTGGATTAGGGTTCGAAACAGGGCCGGTCTTGTTAGTACTAAACACAGGGTTTCATTTATTTTGGTTTCAACATGCACTTTTTACCGAAGTTTATTATAGTCATAATAACGTGAAAATCGATGTTAAAACATGAGGTTGAAGTCTCATGTATGTAATATCTTATATTTATCTTACTCTTCTAACGGGAACTTGTAATTACCTCGAGACTTACCAGAATCTCCCATTACTAGTTTTAAGCTATTGCATAGCTTTTATCGCGGGCTTTGAGCGCGGTGACCGAATCAAGAAATTCCGTAACGAAAATAAAACCTAACACCCCCCACTCCGCCTACCATGTAGGTCGCGTTCAACACATTCACACGTTGCCCTTGTGTAGTGTTTGTGAATATGACGTCGCACTGCATGCGCATCATGAAAAGTCTGCTCATCTCTCTCGCGCGGTCTTTTTTCCACAGGAGAAAATCGCCGGATCCCCACCTGTACGGCAGGTGGAGTATGTGGGAGTCGAACCTCACTAAAAACTCCTGCCACTCACAGCTGGCGCCCTACCCCGGACCGGGTGGGAACCCAGTCGGAGCTATTGAGACGGCGGGACAGGGTTTACGCAGAGCACATTACATCCATCCCGCCGTCCCCCAGACGCCGGACCGGCGGCCGCCAGCAACATGACCGCCGGTTCCCTCGGACGACGGAGCCCGATTAATAGCGCCGCGCTACACCTTCCCCCGGAGCGGTTGGGGGAACGCGACCTACCACGCCGCCCCACGCCTAAGCTCCTCCCCGCACAAAGCGGGTGGAGCCCGAAGCTCTTAGGCGGCCGGGTTACGGACGGGACCCCGGTCCCGACCCCCTGTTCGGCGGTGGCGGGTTTCTGCGTAGTGCGGAGAGCTTTGCCTCACTCGCCCCGCCGCCTCCTTCTGCGAGATGGTGCACTCGGAGAAGTCGAGCATAGCCTTCCAACACTTGTCGCCGCCAAGCATCGACGCCACGACGCCAGGCAGCGACAAGTCTGGTCCTATCTTTGCGACAAGGACACGGCGCTGCACCTCCCAAGCGGGGCAGACAGCGAGCGTATGCTCCGCCGTGTCCAGGTCGTGTCCACAATGGTGGCACCTCGTCGTCGGCTCAGCCTCCTGTCCGGTGCAGGTACTTTCCGAAGCATCCGCGCGGTCTAGCTTATGATTGTAACGGCGACAGTTAATGTTATGCTTTTGTTAATGTTTATAAATATAGCGTGGTCTTATTTTATTATTGTTTTGATATTAAATTATTATTCTCCAATTATAATTGCATAAGTTGATAAAAAATGCTATGCAATAATCTTACCGCGGCAGTCCCCGAGTGCCACACGTGTTTTTTTAATTTGAAATTGTGTAACTGCGAAATTTATTTTTCAGGTTTGTGTATTATGAGTTCGTGGGGTGATCTTTATTGGAATTACAGCTACAGCAGTGTTTCCCAGCCTTTTTTGTGCCATGCCCCACTGTAACATTTCTAAAATTTTTATGCCCCCCTTACATAATTTTTAACATTAAAAAATTGATTTGTTCACTTAAGAAACATAAATGATAGGTTTTAGGAAGAAATCACTATGAAATTGTTGTTAAAACACAGTAAGTAATGTTTCAAAGCATATAATAAAAAACTGAAATTCAAATTCATAATAATTTTAATACATACTTTCTATATTAATTTAGTGCTATTGCCCCCCTTAATCATCAAATTGCCCCTTTGTGGGGCGTGGGCCCCACATTGGGAAACACCGAGCTACAGCGTTCTACTTTTCAAGCGCACAGTGATACGATTACTTCACTACAGATATAGACAAGACATTGGTACAATTCATGTCATTATACGACCACTAATTACGATAAATAGGCATAGTTTTAAGAGTAGAATAGTCTGTTTTTTACGTTTATGAAAACTGTTTTGTGTCATTGCGTATTGTGTATCTACACGGTACGACACGACGCGACAGATTTGGTTATTAATAGTTAAATTTTAACTTTGCGCAAGCCAGATATACTGAATGCGCCTCTGTCTAGCTGAGTAGTAATTATTCGATATTTATGCGAGCTGCCCCTCCCACTCTGTTCTTGTCTTGAGGACTTGGTGACAAGAAAAGCAGTATGGGTGTCGAAAGTTCGTGATCGAAAATGATCCGCTTTTATATAATTTTATTTTCTGATTTCCATGAAGCGATACCGAACAGAGTCAAATATTAATAATAATATAATTAAGTTAAAAATGGGCATCCCTTATATTTGAAAATATTGAACTCTTTTATACATCAATTTTCTCATACGTTGATTTGGCTGACGATTAAGATTTTTTTATCTACGCTGTAGAATTTTTTTCACGATTTGTAAATAGAAAAATTTTTGTACGCTCCATCTGTTCTTATGCTACTAACTAATTGACTAACTAACGACATAGCTTTCCCGCCAAACTTGGGACATAAGGCCGAGTTCTCTTCCATCCAGACGCCTGATAGCTTCGCGGCAGAAGTAAGGAAGACGCTAATTCTCCTTATGGGCCCATTACACTTATCACCTACACAAATGATAAATGAACATTGACGATCATTTCGAAATTCAATTTAATATTTAACTTATATTTTGTTCCTACTACATATAGGTATGAGAGAAATGCACAATTTCTTGAGGTCTCCTATTGATAATGGACTTTGCGGCTCGGACTAGACAAGTTCAATGCTGCTTCTGGATATCAAAAGGTTTATTTTACTTTATCATGAAATATGCTAATTTACGTATTACAGGATACAGTCGTGTTGAATTCTCAATAATGTCACAATATATTGTTCACAAATCCCTAAACTTTGAGAGACGCTGACATGACATTTCTATCACTTGTCTATCTGTGAATATGAACAAAAAAATTCATTTTCTAATATTGCCGTTGACGTGAATATAATAAACTTAATTCACACATATGTTTTTTAAATGCAAAACACTTAAACCTCTATAATTTATTCATTACATTTAATATTACAAAAAGCAGAAAGAATGAATTTTAATTTAAACGTATATTATAAACGAACGTTAGGAATTTTATGCCTTTAATGACTAGAAATATGTATATTATACATAAAGAAAATTATTACTACTATAAATTATCGAGTAATTGGGGACCATCAATTGTGGAAAATATAGTACACACATGCATTTTTTTTTATTGTTGAGATGGGTGGAAGAGCTCACGGCCCACCCGGTGTTTAAGTGGTTATCGAAGCCCATCAACAATGTAAATGTCAGTCATCCTTGAGATATGAATTCTAAAGTCTCCCCACTCTTCAAACTGAAGTGCATTACTGCTTCACGGCAGAAATAGGCATGGTGGCAGTACCTACCCGTGCGGACTCACAAGACATCGTACCCTCGTAAATACCAATGTTGCATATGCGTCTAATCGTATCTTGTGGTTGTTCGTAGAAAAACGATCTTACACTGGGCATTCGTGCTAGCAGTGGATATAACAGCAAAGCTACAGACTACAGAAGTCAAGCAATACAATGAAAGTGCATTTAGTAAAAATCGTAAAGCTTTTTCTAAAGCACAGGTTCCAGTGGGCACTCGACAGCGGAACGCCGTGGCGGTCATGTGCAATTGTGCGCATCGGGACACCTTTGTTCCGCTACCCACACTACCTATTATCTCCGTCGCAAAGAATTCGAACCAGCAAAAAAAAGAATATCATTCTTATTTCAAGGTATTTTAGTAGTTAAATGCGGTTTAATTGCGTCCGGTCTCGTTTCCGTGCATTGATTGAAAAGTGCGGAGGCGATTGGCCAATTCAGAATACGGTTCAGGTATTATTATTCATTTACTGCAGGAGTGCTCTGAGGAATTGTTCGAGATGATACCGGCATCTCGTTTTTACCATCGCACCGCCCGCCAACGGAGTAGAGTTCATCCATACTACCTGGAGCCACTGCGGTCATCCTCCGTTTCCAGAGGTCTTTTTTGCTATGTACCATCCGGCTATGGAATGAGCTCCCCTGCACGGTGTTTCCCGAGCGCTATGATTTGTCCTTCTTCAAACGAGGCTTGTGGAGAGTATTAAACGGTAGGCAGCGGCTTGGCTCTGCCCCTGGCATTGCTGAAGTCCATGGGCGACGGTAACCACTCACCGTCAGGTGGGCCGTATGCTCGTCTGCGTACAAGGGCAATAAAAAAAAATTACATTGAAATGGTGATGTTGAAGGTCTAATGTATAGTGCTACTATAGACGAAGTTCGGATTCAAAGTGCGTACTTTTGTTTTAGTATTACCGGAGTCAATAGAAAATACAAAGTGAGTATCGCCCCATATCGAGAAATCGGGTCTAAGTTTGAATTGTACCATATAATATGTGTATAAAGGTTATTTTAACTCATCAAAACGAAACGCGTAACTGCTTCCGTAGACATGGGGGTAGGTCGATCTACCAGAAGAAATTGTATACTATTACTAGCGGACCCGACAGACGTCCTGTAAAAATTCATTCAAGTCGATTCAGCCGTTTAGTTGTAGTATATATAACGTGGTAGTAGTATAAATAACATCTAGGGTGCCACCCAAACGCATACAAAAAAAAAAACATTCAAATCGGTCCAGTCGTTTAGGAGGAGTACAGTGTCAAACACACGCACAGAAGAAATATATATATAAAGATATACGAGTAATATCGTATGTATGCTTCTGGTACCTATAGGCCAGAGGAAAACTCTCTGAATTGAATTCTCACATAATGTTCGTTGTATAAACATACACATAATAATATGTAAGAGTTTTATACAGTTTTCTGGAGGCAATAATAATATACATTCGACTTCAACTCGATACATACCGTAAACTTCGTACTTACCTAGCGTAGAAAGATTCCTACAAGTTTTTATTGTGCAGTGTCCAGTTTTCCGTAGAATAACTTGAATTTTCTTCGTCCGGCGACGGGCTGCAAGTTTGAAATCCGCTACGGTATGCCGGTCGGGAGTCGGACGGTACTTCCGACGTCACGCCTCCATTCCTGCTACACCTATGCCCAGGCAAACTAACAATGTTTTTCAGAAAAATACGATTTTTATGCTTTAGATGAGCAGACAAACTCACGGCTCACTTGCAATTAATTGACCGGGCTTATATACATACAATACAATGAAATACGTACTCAACAAATGTTCACGATTGACTTCCACGGTGAAGGAATAACATCGTGTAATAAAAATGAAACCCGCAAAATTATAATTTGCGTAATTACTGGTGGTAGGACCTCTTGTGAGTCCGCGCGGGTGGGTACCACCACCCTGCCTATTTCTGCCGTGACGCAGTAATGCGTTTCGGTTTGAAGTACTCAAGGTGGATGGCGCATTTACGTTGTGGATGTCTATGGGCTCCAGTAACCACTTAACATCAGGTGGGCTGTGAGCTCGTCCACCCATGAAAGCAATAAAAATAAAATAAAAAAATACAAATACAACGTGAATGTTCTACCCACCTTGAGGCGTGCTGTAATTAATAATCTCAATTGAATGGCATAGTGACTGTCCCAACATAGAATTCGGTACACATGACAGCTTTGCAGCAGAAATATACTTGAGACCTTAGAACTTGTATCTCAAGGTGAGTGGCGCATTTACGTTGTGCATGTCTATGGGCTCCAGTAACCGCTTAACACCAGGTGGGCTGTGAGCTCGTCCACCCATCTAATCAATAAATAAAAAAATATATTTTGAAAGCACTCCATGATTTGTGCGGCCTCACAACATGCCCTGCCACAAGATACTTTAAATTATATTAATTTTTGCTTAAAAATGTATTTGGCCACATAAAATTATTCTAGGATGAATTAAAGAGTAATGCGGTCGCTACATTTCCTCCACGAAATGACAAATTTAATTTTTGTAAAATTAGTTAAACAATACTAATGTCTTAATCTGATTAACTTCCAGACGTTTTCAATTAATTCTAACTCTATTATTTGATGAGCACGTCTGTTTTATGTTGTTTTTAGCCTTCGTAAAAGTTAAATTAATATACTGCGGCTGTTCGTTCAAACATGAAACTTTATTTAATACATTAAAATGATTTTAACTTGTATTCTAACAAACTGCTGTTTATACTTACAACTTGTTAATGGTTCGCAGGTTAATTAATATGTAGTTAAAGGGCTTCACTCACTTTATATTTGTACATAAAATTGAATGTTATTTAAGTCATTTCAGTTGTAGACGTGTTTGGCAGTGCAATACAACCGTATTCATGTTGTAGGTATAGTATAGGTTGGTATAGGGTATAATATAGGTGTAGGGTGTAGGGTAAGTATTAGGTATAGGGTAGATTGATAGTTATTCGATAGGATTGATGAAATTAATTATATGTATGCATGTTCGTTATTCTGTAGCGTATATTTCTAGTATCTAATATATTTTCCCTAATACGCTCTACGTATAAATTCATGAATAAACTGTTTAACCAGTGCTTCAGTAGAGTCTCAGTATTATCTTGTGGTTTCAATTCATTTACCATTTACCGTTTTATTGTTTTGTTGAGTTATCCTGATTTTGAACATTATTAGATTCAATAATTCTGTTTTTTATTATTGTCCTGGTATTTGCATCTCAAGTGCGTATAAAAAGCGGAGTTCGCCAACAGACTTGCCTAATGTGGCAGCCGTTGCAAAATATAAAATTTAAACCACTATTCATTATGTATATACGTTATTAGGCTCTTTATCTATTTAACGTTTAGTTTACTGACTGATTTAATTTAGTGTTGCAATACCTGTAATAAAATTTTCTAGATTTGCGTAATTATTGGTGGGAGACTTATGCGCTCGCACATGCACTCTACCCATTTCTGCCTTTTCGAGAAAATCAATCAAATGGGATCTTTTAACTAAGTTTTAACCCTAAAATTATGGTAATCATTTAACCCTTCAACAAAGTCAAATGTGGATTTTAATATCGAGTTTACGTTCCTAATATCGATAAACGCATCTAAAAACGTAAAACAATCGTGACAATCAAACAGTCATTACAAATTCCATTAAAATTGTCATAAATTAGTTCAGCGGTCTTGTTAGCGGTCCATTTAAATTGAGTTTTCTTTACGAATAACAAATTTTTACGTATTTATATTTCAGAGGTAAGGAGTAGCAGGGGTGGGGTTGCGATAAGAATCAAATAGATGTTGTTTCGCTGCATAGAGCACTGTCGGGCAGGGCAGGACGTATGCACGCGCTGACAGATGACCTAAAAATTTTGACACTTTAAACAAAAATAATCTCTTTAGCTTAGAAGGCAGCGACATAGTTGTGCCCCTGTCATTGTTGTATCCTTAAGCGACTATGACTACTTACCATTAGGTGGGCCGTGTTATCATTTGTCTACAACAACAAAAGTTTTCTTTTATATTACGACTAGCTAAGCCGGCAGACTTCGTAATACCTCAATCGATAAATAAAAGACCTAGAATTGAGTATAAAATAAACTTAAAACAAAAAAGTCGTCGTGGCCTAAAGGATAAGACGTCCGGTGCATTCGTATCGAGCGATGCACTGGTGTTCGAATCTCGCTGGCGGGTACCAATTTTTCTAATGAAATACGTACTCAACAAATGTTCACGATTGACTTCCACGGTGAAGGAATAACATCGTGCAATAAAAATCAAACCCGCAAAAATTATAATTTGCGTAATTACTGGTGGTAGGACCTCTTGTGAGTCCGCACGGGTAGTTACCACCGCCCCGCCTATTTCTGCCGTGAAGCAGTAATGCGTTTCGGTTTGAAGGGTGGGGCAGCCGTTGTGACTATACTGAGACCTTAGACTATATCTCAAGGTGTGTGGCGCATTTACGTTGTAGATGTCTATGGGCTCCAGTAACCACTTAACACCAGGTGGGCTGTGAGCTCGTCCACACATCTAAGCAATAAAAAAAACAAAAAAACAAAAGGAATCCCTGTCCGACGGGGAACACATCAAAGGAAAAACAAAACAGTTATTTTTATTTAGTTCCGAGCATTTTCATATTTATCTACCTTTTAAGCCTTCTCTGGACTTCCACAAATATAATTCAAGACCAAAATCAGCCAAATCGGTCCAGCCGTTCTCGAGTTTTAGCGAGTCTAACGAAGAGCAATTCATTTTTATATATAATAGATAGATTACAGTGCAACATTATTTTTAGTGGGCAAGATTCATAATTCACAAATATAAATCACATTCCACAAGCGTTGTTGTTAAAATTTTAAATATAAAATGAAAACTTGTCGCAAAGTTTAAATTCAAGCGTGTTAAAATATTAATGGTGGTCCTCATACAAATTTTAATGGATTTAATTTTGGACTTCGTTTTGCAGTTAAAACTTTAAAAGCCACGTAATTTATTTAACATCAAAAATAAAACGTAAGCGGATATTAAATTGGAATGCAAAAATGAGAGAATGCAACGGCTTATCCGAGATAACTGGATTCGATTTTGCCTACGGTTCTATCAATGAGTAATATAGATCGTATAGATTTTGTATTCTACACGAGAGCTTAAGGACAGTTAATTAACAGACAAAAATAAAGTAAAAAATAAATGTATCAAAATCTTATGGTCGAACTATATTATTCACCTGAAGTATGTTTCGGCTGACATAACAGTCATGAAACGTATTTTGGCAGAGCGATAAGGAAATGACACAAAGAAAACAAACTACAGTCTGTTTCGGTCGAAAATTTGTGAGGGCACGGGCGGAGGCGGGTGCGGTAGCGGGAACGGGAACGGGAGAGGACGAGATAGCGACGTCAAAGTTATTGGGACCCCGTCAGATCGCGAGAATATCTACCTTTGCACTCTTTCGTCGCCCCTCCATTGTTATCAATATCGGGGAGAATAAAGGAGCATTTTAATTAACTGGAGTTTTCAATATCGATAGACGACATCGTTCTAAATACGATTTAATTAACGTACGTGAAGTAGTTTGAATGGACTTTTGTTTAACTTAGAAATGATCCTTTGCTTTTATTGATTTATTGCAGCAGTCGTCAGAAACTTGTGTTTTTACATTGTTTGTCATTTGCATTTCGTTTTTGGGTTCTTTATTATTGCCAGAATAAAACTAAGCTTCTTAAATAACTTATATAGACAGACGAGTTTACGTCTCATCTGATGTTATTACTTCGTCCAGTTTTAGGATGGAAGTGTCGGAAATTATTTCAGGCATAAACGCCGTAACCCATATGGACTCTCACAACTCGCCCGAATACTAGTACTCAAGATAGGACTTACAAGAAGAAGTAGGGGAAGATAAAAACATATTAAGAATACTATTATTAGGGTCGAATAACAGAGAAGTTGTAACTCAAGGAGGCCGAAAGCCGAATCCCGAAAGGCCGAAACCCGTTTCTCATTGTCGTCATGGCGGGCATGGTATAATCCTCTAGCCAACATTTACGTCAAATTTTCGATTTAGTAAAATCTGATGAAGGTTGTTTGAATAATTACCTTTGATGGGCAGTCCGCTCCCCAACGAATACTAAACGGTTAGCTATACACAACGTGACTATGGCAGTTGATATTGAAGTCTTCTACCGGATTCAAAAACGTACGAATATTTTTCTTCACGGGAAAATTCAACGACTTTTTCTTATTATTATTATTACCTTCAGCAACAAGCATGGTACCTGCCCTGCGATTAATGATCACTACTACCCCCTGCGATGAATGGTCACTGTTTCTGGTGGACATTAGCAACGCCAAGCTTGCTGCCTACCGATCAAATTAAAACCTGTGCACGTACTCAATGACGTAAGTATGTTAAGTTGTAGCGAAAATAGGTACTCACATGCCCATGCCCAAGAAACGCCTTTACGTGTTTCTATACTTATCCATTAGATCCAATAACCCTTGCATTAGACGCATTTAGCTCTAACGCTAAGAGCAGGCTTCGGGACCCCGGTAACCGTACTCGTTGAACTCGGCAAAGAGTTCGACGTACAACCTAACCTAAACATCAGCCCGCTGTGTTTCTCGCCGGATCTTCTCAGCGGGTCACGATTCCGATACGGTAGTAGATTCATCTGCGTAGCAGCTACTCTTGAGTTGTTAGGTCTCCTTTGGAGCCGCTCAAGTAGCTGTTAGCAAATCCCACCCCTCCTAGCTGAACCCTTGCTCGTCCACCTGTCTTGGTGAAACTTGAAAGGCCTCCGGACCACCAGTAATCCCTCAATCATAAAAAAAGGTATTCATATAATATGATGGAACATAAACACGTTCTGAATTTTTCAATAATCGAAATCTATTTGTTGAACCGGTCAAGAAAATTCTTCGAAAACTTTTAAAGCTCCGTCTAGTCCGGAGCCTTTGTCCGGCGTAAGACGCTAGAAAGCTATAATAGGACAGACATTTGTAAGATTGCCTTCACTCGTAACCCAGATCGATATATCGCAGCCATTGTATATTCACCAGCCTATTTCTGGTTGGATGTGTTAGGGGTGGGTTTCACTGTGAGTCGAATAATTCTAGAAACGTGTAATACAGCTGATTGTCTATTGCACGGCGAGAAGTATCTACATATTTTTTATAGATTTGTTTCTGGTGCAGTCAATTTAAAACTGAACAGATTCCGCGAAGCACTGTGCTAGGACCAATGCTACCATTTCTCTCAGGTTGGGCCCGTGAGCACACTTACCGGTCCGTTAGTAATTGGAATAGTCCGTTAGGTTACCAAGCTATCAGGGATTAGGTAGGGGGAAAAAGATAACAGGACAGTTGGAACAGCACCTTTACACCTGAACGGACACACCACGCGAACTCGATTGACGTATTATCGTTTTGTCTCGGAATAGCCTTCCTTGAAACGTTTTCAATAGCCGTCGACCCATTTAATTTAACAGACAATGTATACGGAGTGAAGACCGGCGATTTGTCAGCGGAATGAATTCCAACAAAGACGGTATTCATTTCAATAGCAACTTGTTGTACGAGAACCGTTTTAATTTCATAAGTCGTTTATCATAATCAAGGCTGAGGAGCTCGGGGTGAATCCTACCCATGTCAGTGTCTGAAGAGAATGTTATGTACCTGCGCGGACAATGCGGACATTTTGTGGACACCGAGTAGCAACTCGTTCTACCGAAACATAGATTTGTAATGAATGACATCCGCAGACGAGGAACGCAAGCTTTGACGAGGTTTTCATATATGTAAATGATAAAAATTTTGATTTCTCCATTTAGGGTTTTTTTTTTGCGATAACACACTGATACTTATTGTATGGTACACTCAATGGTTACATAATTTAAAAAAACAACTTTGCAATTATTTATCGTATAAATTAACAAGCAAACAAACTAGTATTATTTCCTAACGAGATCAGCGAACTTGTTCGAAATGCTTGATATAGTTTGCTAATTTACTTGCTGCAGAAATAGAAACAACTTATTTCCACACTAGTCAACTATCGAGCCAGTACCTCCGCTCAAGTGGGTCGCTAAATAGTTCCCGCCAGCCGACGTCCCTAATCTAATATGCCCGATTCGGACCCCGATTTGGAGTGCAATCTTCTACGTGCCGTAAATATAGAAAACAGAAGGCCAGCTTCCAAGTAAGTTTCGACATATTATTTTGCGTAAAACTATTTTCGGATTTGTACATTTAGTTGATTGAAATAATAAGACTAGCTGATAAAAAATTGGTATCCTGATGTTGAATTATTACATTCGATATTTTTTTACTAGGTAGGCATGGTTAACACGTTTTCCCTGATTCTTATCACGGTTGAATTCAAGCCTAAGCTTACCGGCACAGGGAAAACGCCGTTGAGAAAAGTTCATTTGCAGAGCGTGACGCTAAAGCAAAATGAATTAGCTCTTAAAAGGCGCTGCGGAGCGTAGCAGTTCTAGGTAGTAGTGGTGTATTCCGCGTCTATAACGAATAGTGTGGTAATTTAAAAAGAAACTCTAGATGATCGTAAGTAATTCAGTGCGAACGGGACAATCTAAATATGACTGAGTGTTGATTGGACCGACTCATTGCTTTGTATATGGCCAGTTCTGTTCGCCCAGTGAGATAATTAAAAAAAAGTGTGTGTGTGTGTGTGCAAGTCACACACGGTAGAAGTGAAATTTATAAAATATAAAAATAATCGCAAGGGTCAACCACTCCGCAGTGCAATGGAGCAGCCGCACCTCGGGGGAACCGCCTGCATGATCACGGTATCCCGACGCCAGGTAGGTATGATTTAGCAAGATAAATACGAGAACATCTATAAACTGTGTAACATCTCGTCACCGCGATTCAGGAATTGTTGAATTTACGTACAGCGACATCTTGATAACAAACTAAATAGAAATAAAATAAACATGGCGCGTAACGGAAGAAATTAAGATGGCGCGTAACCGAAAAACGTTACATACGTTTTTTCTCATACGTCGATAAAGAAGTTTCACTTCAATTATTTGTGTGTATAATGCATGTAAAATAGTCGTGAGCATGCTTAAATCTTTTATGCTGTGTCACGACCCAGTGCGGTGGGCACAGCTCGTTCCACTCTCTATTACCCCTGTAATCGTACATTCGGACCTTTGCTGACACACTAACTATCTATATGAGTTTCGACCTGTTTCTGATGGATGCACGTATAGCATCTCCAACGATGTATTGAAACCTAAATATATGCAGGATCCCGTCTCTAGCTACTCGACTGCGTACTGATACAGAATACTCAAAGGAAGATTCTCAATGACTTTCGATCTATAAAAGTCGAGATTGCTAAATAGTCAAGCGTTACTCTTTTGAAGGTATTCGGTTTTTTTAATATTAATGTATTATTTACTAACACCTCAACATGGAAAGTATTATGTAAGTAGTGTGAAGTGTGGCCACGGGTGCTGCAATGGTCTGCTAATCCATTAGCGGTTTATTACACTGCTTGAGGTTTGCGTTAGGGTCACATTCTCGCCTCATGGGCGTTTGCTAATAAAACACTCGATTAAACTTAGACATGCTCGAGAGGTATATATTTATTGATTAAAATAGCTTTATCTCTGCATAGCTGGTATGCCCTAGTTTCTAAATCAATCTAAATAGAGATTTCGCGTTCTAAAACAGATTATGCATCAGACGGGGCCAGTTTGTATCGATATCTATTTTAGGGTTAGCATTCACTTAGTTGCAACTCGTCGTACCTACTTCTTTTTAAGATATTATATGATTTGTTTGGATGAGTTTCTTAGACAAAAAGAGCGAGATGCTTGGGCTTGTGATCTGTAATCTTGTTTGAACGAACAAACAAATGGTAAACTTAATTTAAGTTTTAGCAGTTCTTTGTCCTGAACCTATCCAGCTAAATTCTTTAAATTTACATAAATTACGTACTTTATTTGGTGTATACAAAAAGGACCGTTCATGCTAGTCGGACAATAGGCTTAGCCGTACAAAATTGGAGTAATAAAAGAGAAATGCCCGCAAAAGTTTCGCAATAAAGGCAACGAGCATCGACTGTTAACAAGTAAAGAGTTCTTCAGTATAATATAATGTTGTATATGTAAGTGTGAGCTGCCTTGTGTTACCTATCGAACTGCCCTTTAGATACCCTGAAGGGTTTTCCAATTACAACGCACACGCCTTTTTGAGTTTCATGAACTTTGTAACAAACAAAATTAGACGATCAATCGATTCGACTACGTATATTTGAAAAGAAACTAAAATAAAAATATTTTAAGCTTAAATTGATTTTGTAATTAAGACGTTTTTGAATTCGGTTCCATAAGCGTAGTCAAAAGACAACAACTAACCGCTATGATGCGATGTAAAGCTATGATTTTAGTGAATTTTTTTAGTGAATTATATGTCGGAGACGGTCATTAGCTTGGTAGCTAAACGAATTCTGAGACGGTCATTAGTTTGGTAATTAAACGAAATGCAGCACGATTCCCAACAGATGGCAGCACGATTGCGGTATCGTCGGAGCTCGGCTAGCTTCGTGCTACGACGGAGCCTAGCCGATGGAGGCGCGTAGACGCCATCACACTTACCAACCTTCTTGAAGAGCGGTGCCTCCGTGCTAAGAACTGTCATACGTTTCGTCTGCTAAGCTCAATCAGCCCCTTGTGATATCTGACGATGGTGTTAATAATTGTGTCTTCTCCGATATTCTATTGGATATGATAAACTTTTTTACTAATTTAAAAGTAGTGAAAATATACATGATATCACTACATAGTATAAAACAAAGTCGCTTTCTCTGTTCCTATATCTGTCTGTCTCTATGTATGCTTTAAAACTACGCAACGGATTTTGATCCGGTTTTTTTAAAAGATAGAGTGATTGAAGAGGAAGGTTTATATGTATAATAACATGCATTAAATAGTGGAGAAATCAATAATAAATTACAGTTTCCGAAGCGAAGCGAGGGCGGATCGCTAGTAATTAATATAATAAGAATTTAAAATAAAAAGAATCTAGTATCATGAGTACACTCAATCGGTCTAATTGAAGGCAATAGACAAATTAAAACAATGAGCTGGTTCGTTTGAAAGATACTCAGTCGTTTTTCGAATGTTCCACGTAGAAAATAATTATACGGTTTCAGTGATGTACGAGCGCCAGTTAAGCCCGACCCAAAGAGTAATAGCTACGATAAACATTAACAATTAAAGCATTGCCATGCGACGCCCGCCTTTCTTTGCGCCTCCCTTAATAAAGATTTATTTTCTTTCATATGTTTTTTATGCAAATATTGTTCACATATCTCGACCGTAGAAGCGTATCGTCGGTAATCAGTTTGCTAATATCGCATCAGGTATTACGGGTTGATACCAACGTGTGTATTTTTGGCGCGAGAAAATACCACGTTCCGCTCTGAAATGCTACGACGTTATTGATCGGTTAATAGACGAAATATAATAAAAGCTTGTATTATATTTTATTTCCCACTGTTTGGCTCTGTAATACAATACACACCTTCTCAAGTTATCGCTCAGCTTGAGTTAAAATACCGAAGCAATCAGAAATCAATGGACAACAACAGTACGTGATCGTAAACAGAAATTCTGTTAAAGTTCTAGTATGTGTAGTCATCATAGGTACGTTGCAATTTCCTTTCAAACTTCGGCAACCGTCCGGATTCGTGGATAGTTTGGAGTTTAGGTGTAACGCTTCAGATAATAAGTTTGCATGATTTCACACGTGAAACATACCTAGGGATCGTGAATTGAAATANATCAATGGAAAACAACAGTACGTGATCGTAAACAGAAATTCTGTTAAAGTTCTAGTATGTGTAGTCATCATAGGTACGTTGCAATTTCCTTTCAAACTTCGGCAACCGTCCGGATTCGTGGATAGTTTGGAGTTTAGGTGTAACGCTTCAGATAATAAGTTTGCATGATTTCACACGTGAAACATACCTAGGGATCGTGAATTGAAATAATAAATAAATTCGGGCACAATGTTCAACTGTCGACCAATAATAAGACGTTAGTCGTACGTGAAAATTGAAAACTATTTAAAATGTAGGTAATAAGAGGACGGTCACTTCGATAAAGCGGCACGACATGAGGATCCTCTCATCGTGGCCGCCGGAAACTACATAGCCGACACTGCGGACGAAATGGTAAACAGTCGATTTCTCCCAAAACACGTGATTTTGGATCCTCCTGATCCACTAACGGTGCTTTTAGCTACCCCAAGCACTGGTCATCGTTCTCGGCGAACCCGTAGCTTGCGACGAAGGGCTCATCGAGTAAATTAACCCACAGACACAGCCCACTGAGTTTCTCGCCGGATCTTCTCAGTGGGTCGCGTTTCAAATCCGGTGGTAGATTCTGCGAAACACGGCTCTTGCTAGGGTTCGTGTACGCAACATCGTCAGGTTTGAACCCCGTGAGCTCACCTACTAGTTAAGGTTACGCTGCTATGATCGCTCTAGACCATCAGCTTAGGTAGGAAAAAAAAGAGAATGGAAATAGTAAGCGCGAGATTAAATCTTAAAAGTGGTTTTCATTAAATACGTTCTTGAGATACAATAAAGTGATTCTAGAATGCTCTGGATGTGAAGACGAACGGCCACTAAGTCGGCGGTAAAATGGTTAGTTGAAAACATCATAAGGTGAATTTCATCAGAGGAGGCCCACTTCTTGAGATGTAAGACCGCCGCCTCGGTCCTATATGTAACGGCTGTTTTATCAAACCGTAACACATTACTGGCTCAGAACCGAAATATGTAGGATGATATTGATGATAACCCATCAATTTTACAAATCAGGTTGAGACGTGTGAAAACGGTCTAATGGTACAGAAATATACTGTTGCTGTTTTGACAATCGTACCGCTGCTTTATCTGCTTTTGTAATCATCACGAATAATCGTCAACGGTCGTTGACCCTAAAACATACCAGTAATGCGAATTATCCGAATACAATACGTAAACAATGTTTTACAATGCAAATTTATTCTAGTTCCCGGATTAACCGGCCGTCATCGCACCACTTGCGGTAATTATGTGGACCCAAACTCGCGGATATCCTGATGGTTGTACTATATGTATTGCTTGAAACATACGTTGTATCGTATGAGCGCTGACTAGCTGTCTAATCTATCTTCTATCTATATATATAAAAATGAATTGCTGTTCGTTAGTCTCGCTAAAACTCGAGAACGGCTGTACCGATTTGGTTAATTTTGGTCTTGAATTATTTGTGGAAGTCCAGAGAAGGTTTAAAAGGTAAATAAATATGAAAATGCTCGGAATTAAATAAAAATAACAATTTTGTTTTCCCTTTGATGTGTCCCCCGTCGGACTGTTTCCTTTTGTTTGTTCTAAGTTTATTTTATACAAAAGTTTAGGTCTTTTATTTAGCGATTGAGGCACTACGAACTTTGCCGGGTCAGCTAGTGATAAATAATAATCTGAGGGGCAAAATAAATAACCGCCACGTGTGTGTATTATTCTGGTTTACAAAAATGGATTTACATAAAATAATACGGAAAGCTAATTGACGCCTTAACGTTGAATCTATTTATCTATAATATCCATAACACAACTGTGAATTACGACAAGCTTTATTGGTGCTTCACACAGCAACAATACGAGCAAATCTTTGGACAGTGATCGTATTGTTTCTTTCTAGTTTATGAAAGTGCTTTGTGTACTAATTTAATAACAATTTGTAAAATTTATGTCTGATGTAAAAAAAACTGTAATAGAGAAAGCCCTGGGCTTCTTATCAATTCTTTACAGTGAAGTAACTTTATTCCGAACTGTGGGAAAATTTATGACAATTTAAAAAAAGCTATGTTGGTTCTATATCTTTTCTGTTACAATATC